AATTGTGCTTACTTGTTGGGCCTATATATATATATGGGTGTTCCGTCTATTCGATGTTTATACGCGACTTCAACGCTGAGTTTAATTTGTCTGAAACAACTTGTAATACAACTTATAGATGTGTGATATTTGTTCGTTGCGCTCCTGGTTCAATACATTTTCTAATAAAATAGCTCTCGATTGCGCGCTACATCATAGTTGTTATATGCGTATTGACATATCTGCCACGTAAATATGTCATCCGCAGACGTGCAGATTATCTAATGGATAGATCCTTGTCGATAAGCAAATGTCAATCAATATTCCAGATTCTGTGCTCTCTGTACTTGTGTCGCATAAGAAAAGGAACGACGTTAACACTTGCTCGAACCGTTCTCATGAACAGGCTCCGACTATACATGCGACACTCGTGTGTATCTTTCCTATGCGCGTAGAAGTTGTCACCATGTAGCAGACGAGACTCAACCCATACTTACGTATCTGTCTGCTTTTTGTCCGCTATTGTTGCCTCTGCTACTTTCGTAGAAATTTAGTGCGATGATGTTAAAGGGGAGGTATCATGCGAACTGGCAGACATCGGGATCGCCCTAAATTCATTAGTAGGTTCAAATGATATCTTCACTTGCTTTGGAGTGACGTCCTTCTCGAAGACCACAGGCCTTCTCACTACACACGCTACTGAAAAGTGAAGCGGGCGATCGGATAACCAAAAAAATTAGAACCAAGCTAACGTGTGATAATCAAGTGCTATCTTTGCTGAACAAAATTGGTTCGTAGCATAAGATAGGGCTGGACTGGGTGGTCATTCGAATGGAAGCAGCAACAGCTGACACGGACTAGCAGCTGGGTTAATCCAAAACGATAATGACTTCCACCCGGTGGCTCCCGGGCTCTGGTCGTCCGTTGCCTAACACCGGTCGTGTGGCAATAATACCCCGCTACTGTTATTCATATTTGCCCATGCTATTCGGGGCATTTGCCTAGCTTCGTACGTGTCGAAGGCTGCATCTCAAGCTCCTTATCTCCTTCATCTCCGATCTCCTTAATCATTTAATTGACATGTAGTTTAATTTAAAGAAAAACAGCTTCCGAAAGATACTCACCACGCAGGTTGAATATGCTAGCTATGTACGTTTGAACTAAATTTCTAATTTAATTAAATATTTTTTATTCTTTGGATCAGAGGGCGAAAGAAAAAAAATGTTGATTTAGGGTCGTATTGCCAGGGCACTTCCTCATCGGACAATTACTGTGAATAGGTGAACGCACTTGAAATCCATGAAATCCAAGGTAAGATGGCACCTGCTAAGAGCTGAAGCGCATTCCGGCTTCGCGCTTAGGATGATCGTGTTTACGTTCCTGTTCATGGAAATTGAGAGATCCGTGCCTGTTGAAGCAACCAAGCCTCTGAACATCCAATCCGAGAAGGGAATGAGTGCGTCTGAAACTTGGAATTTGAATCTGAGCTCTCGTCTGAATCTGTACAGAAACAGTACGTTCAAAAAGTCCGCAGGACGCCCCGCCCAAAAAAGCTACACAGCATAAGAGCTGTAGCATCAAAAGGAAAAGATTATTTGAACTTCGAGCCTCTCAACCTAGTATGAGGACAGTGCAGCGAGTGCGCCTGGCGAGTCCAAAGACAACTACCCAAGCACTGAAAAGCCAGTTTTGCTGGAAAGCTGGAAACGCCACCATGAGATCTAGTAAACAAACAGACAGAACTAATGAAGATGAGTAGAAGAGGCACAAAACGAGGCGTGCGTAAGGGATGCACAAGGAGAATAATTTAACAAAACAGCCAGGCCTCTATTGAAGTCGTAACGCAAAAACGTGAAAAAAGGCAAACGAATAAGAGACCAACGGCGCCGGCGACGACGACAAAGACGCCGAATCAAACGCGTAGAACAAGTCACAAACAACGTCATGGGCGGTAGAGGCAGTGGGGGCCCCAGTGACAACAAAAAAACTAGTGCTGAAGCAAAACTAAAAACGGAATAAGAGCCAAAGAAAAAGAAGGAGTTCTCCCTAGCCTCTGAAGTACCTATTTGCGGTGCTGACGCAATTGGAAACAGTTGTCCGCGACAGCGGTGAAAAAATACGAGACTAAATTCGATAACGCCACGAACACACACACACATACACGTGCAAATAGAATACTGCGAATTTGATCAAAACAAGTTCTACGACAAAGCTCAAGACTCCTTCCGGATTAAAATAGAATAGGCGGGCCAGGCGAGCAAAGCGAAGTATCACTTATTTTTTTGCCTCCCGTCTTATTTAGTCTGGCTAGGACAGACCTGATTTAGACTTGCCGGCCTAGCTAAAGTTTCTGTGGGAGTGATAATAAAGACGATTAGTGCAATTAGGACTAGTCTCATCGGTAATGGTGCTATGATCCGAAATACCAGAAGTATTCATTTAAGTAGTATTTGAAATAATAATACTTTTTGGTAATAGCAAAATGGAGAAGATATGAACGATGCGGAAAACGCTGGGCAATGTTAACGGCCGAGGCAGAATGAAGATGCCGACTTAAGGCAACCGCAAACAGGAAAAAAGTCGTAGCAAGGACGAAGGAAAAAATATAACTTTACGATCAAAGTTGAAAGGGAAGTTGAATAAAGTAGGAGTCGAGAGGGGTTGAAAAGAGCACGGGAAGATGAATTCGAAAGACACGAAGAAAATAAAAAGGCAGGAAGCGGCAAAGATGAAGTTAGAAGGTGAACAGCGTTTCAGCGAAAAATATTTCGACTCCTCAAAAGAGCTCAGAATTAGTAAACAACAGATCAATTGGCGAAGATTAGATAACGAAAACGTCGTTCACGCAAACGGGCTGTAGGTTAATTAGTTGCTAAAGTGGGATTCTGTGAAGATCCAGAACTAGAAAGCAACTGATTTTGTCAACGTTCTAATCGATTACAAAAAGTACAGCAAAAAAATCTGCAGCAAGAAAAGAACCAAGCGTCAGGAGTACATACCGTTTACTAAAGCGGGGAAAAAGATTCGACGCGAAAAATCAAAGGAGGGTGGAAAGGCAAGAGCTAATGATACGTAGGGCATGATTAGGGAGAGATCAATGCGTACCTGCTATGGCTTAAATGCGCGACCCCGTACCCAGACATAGACACATACGTATAGTCACATGGACACACGTACCCGACTACGCTGGCATACAGCATAAGCTTATCTCAGGCCGAGACATGGCGACTTCTTTTTGTGTGAGGGGAAAAAGGAAGTCGGTGACGATCCTCTGAGCGGCGCTCACCGCCAAGTCTACTAATTACTCATAGCAGAGTAGGATAACATGGAGGGGGATATGATGCTACTGTTAATGCCGATGGTGCCGTCACGTCTCTCGGCAGCCTCATGAGCTAAAACAGTTTCACTGTTGGAAAGAGTTGATTTGCATCAGTTCTACTGAACCCTGATGTGGAACTCGAAAAGTTAAATCGAATCCGATAGCAACAGGGAATGTATCAGAGCTATGTTTTGAAATGTGAGTAAAGTGGTTCCAGGGAGCTGTAGAAGCTCGGCTATCTTGTACACTTAGGAAAGAGAGAGTTCGGATGGAACCCCTATGGGTAGAATGAGAGACCGAACGATGTTCTGGCTGATTTGATTAGCTATTTCCGAAGTCAGAACTAGCTGAACTAATAGCAATAATTGGCGTTACGACTGTAATAAGAAAAATACTCGCTTATTTTAGCCAGTCCATCTACTGATTAGAATACCAATCGCAGAGTTCATCTAGTTGAGCCATCTCTTCTCAAGGTCTGCCCTTTTTTTAATGCCTGAGCCAGAAATGCTGGAACATGTTTAAAAGTAAATAAAAAAGGAAACTGAAAGCAATAGCGGATCTATTGTCTACTCATGTTTGGATTCGATGGACATAATATTGCCGTATCAGCCATTTACCTTCAGTGCTTTTTCAAGCAGGCACCAACTTACTCGAAAATTACGTTAAAATAGAATGTCAATTGAAACATGTAGACGTATATGAGGAAAAAATGTTTCTTCGACCATAGTTAGATTGTTTACTACAATGTCATGTCTTATACTCAATCTCGTACGGCAATTCGCTTTCACACATATCTTCTATATGCAAAGGAGAATTACTCAAAAGATTCGTTAACGCGTAACGCATCTGAACTTAATACCATCTGAATGTTACAAAAAAACAAAATGATTTAGTTAAATGATGAAGGGGGTAGGCATGAGAATCTTGTGCATTGCAAATGCGATTTTTTAGTATACTAATACGGTCTATTACGGTGCAAATCTTTGTTCTTAATTAAATCAATACAATCATTGTTAAGAACAAAAACTTGAGGACATCCATAATTTATAACACCATACCTATTCTTTTCTGGGCAAAGGTTTCACATTTGCGGTATTCACAATATATTAAAAATTATTTTCTTACATTTTACAGAATTTTTTATTATATATACACTGCTATATCAAAGCCGCGTTTTTTGGTAAGGCAGTAGGTGAAGTCCTGATAAACGCAATATCTTTATAATAAGTTTAAAGGCAATGTATACTTTATCTTGTAAACAATGTACGTACATGTCTATGTCAATCACGCCATTCATAACTTATTTAGTGCGTCTGTACAAATTTTGTTATTATCGTTGCTAGATGCAACGGAATCATATTATGAGTATCGTTTGCAGCAATACACCCATGGCAAAACTGGTATAACAACTGGCAAAGCAGCGTTTATCGACGGGGAGTCATTGAGCTTTCTTTGTGAGCCCATTCTTGCAACCTCCCGGAAACCCTTGCCTACTCCCCACGGCCAGGGCCAAATGCTGTAACATTGCTTAGAAATCGCCACCGCCTGGTAAAGGACAATGCCCTACCTCAACAGCTTTTAGTGAGCAAGCGTATTGTTCAATAGCACGCCAAAAGCCGAGCCGCCATGATGGCAGTGTTTGGCCTAAAAAACGAGGAGGAAAGGCCCTCGCCGTTACAAGTCCCTTTCCATAGACAAGGCCTATGTTACATCAAAGCTGTATGCTCGTAGACCAACAAACTGACGAAGCGATGATCCCGCGATTAACAATCGGCGAGTCATCAGTTTGTTTTCAAAAGTGGTCCGCCGTCTGCTGTTGTGTTTACGGCCCGCATGCCTACGCAATATTGTGATTGGTTTCTACAAGCCACAGCGTGTTCGAGAAGAAGTGTGATACACGATTCTTAGTCTTATTAGGTTTTTTTGAACGCTGACGTTCGTGTGGTGATGTTGGGAATGCTTTCCGAGTCTAGTCTAGTGCTACTCTAGATTTGTCGCACCCTTATATATTTACGAGAAGTGGTAAACAAAAAGATACGAAAATGGTCCAACGTATCGCTAGCCAACGGCCTCGGAGCGGCAGGTATTTCACCGATGAGCAGCTGCACACAAAAGATAGCAATGAGGCAACCCACCTAGTTAGAGCTCCACACACGTTTGTGATCACTCAAGGCAAAACAGACAAAGTAGAACGGGAGTTATGTGCTGACCTGCGAAAAATTATGGAACCGTTCACCGCTGCGAAGCTTCGAACCAAACGCAAAAATACGCTGCGCGATTTTGTCGCTATGGCTGGATTTTTCCATGTCACTCATATGCTGGTGCTGAACAAAACTGTTGGTGGTAAGATGTACCTCCGTGTTACCAACCTGCCACGAGGTCCCACGCTAACTTTTGAGGTTCAGGGATTCACAACGGCGGGGCTCGTACGAAAACAGCTTAAAAAAGTCGTTCAAATGGCCAATCAACACATGACGAGTCCATTGTTGGTGCAGAGCAACTTCAACGGCGAAGGCATGCACTTCAAACTTATGTCAACAATGTTCCAAAATATGTTGCCCAGTATCAATATTAACCGGGTGAACCTGAACAGCCTTAAGCGTTGCTTACTAATACACTATAACGAGGGTCGAGACGTGATCGAATGGCGTCACTATTCAGTTAAGGTTGCTCCCACGGGTATCGTTAAGGCTGCAAAGAAGCTCGTTGAACGAAAAGTACCCAACCTAGGTGACCTAAAAGACATATCCGATTTTGTTGATAATCCTGGTGGATCCGAATCGGAAGCCGAGGAACTGTGCGCCGGAACGAACCGAGTCAAATGTCCTGATGAAGTACGTTCACGAGGAAATATCCCCGGCCAGCAGAGCACTCTCCGGCTCTACGAACTAGGGCCACGTATGACATTGAAGCTTGTGCGAATCGAGGAGGGCTTATGTAGTGGCAGGATGTTGTACGGCGCTAATAACGATGTACCAAATTTACCTCAGTATCAGACAAAGCCGGATGAAATAGCCCCAGTGCCAAAAAAGCGCAAGAGGCCAGAGAAGGAAAAAAAGAAACGCACGCCCCAAGAGAAGCATGCTGCTAAGATGCAACGCAGAGCTGAACGTCGCGCCGCCGAGGCGAAATTAGGCGGGGGTGACGACAACAACATGGGCGACGGACCCCCTGCTAAAAGGACTAAGGTATCCGGATTTGTTACCTCCAAAGAAAGGACGTCTCAAGGATTGCAAAACAAAGGAGCTGTCAAGAAACCCTCTGGCAAAACAAGTGGAAGCGGTGTCAGGGCAACAACCTCGAAGAAGGTTGTTCACTTTAATACTCCAGGCGCATATAAGAAACCTCTCGGCATCGTGAGGGGTTTTGCAAAAAGCAAACAAGCTTGCCGTGGAGGTACTAAAGGAGGTCGAAAGTCTTAAAGGCAGATTGAGTATACTGAAGCCCGTATTGTGTAAAGCTACAAAGCACAATACTAACATTGCCACTATATGTACATTAGTGAAAAGCATATGTGTAGTTATATAATGATATGATTGTTAATCCCGAGTATAAATAAATATGTTAGCGTCTCATTTTATATTTGCGTTTTTGGACTGTAATTGTTACACATTTAAACAGGAATCACTAGGCAAATAACTCCGTAAGTTTTTTTTTATTAATTCATTTTCTTCATAATTCATTTTTTCCATAATAACGGGGTAGTTTTTTCATTAAGATATTATATAATTTGAAAATGAAATTTAGCTTTCTTCGGTAATATACTGGTTTTTTTAGTATGCATCTCAAACGAAATAGAAGCAGGTGCATTTCTTGGACAACGAGAAGCTTGGGCCAATCGATCGTAGGTCACCGTGATCAAATGCGCTGTATGTCATTACTTGTTATTATTATTATTAGTATGCCAGATACTGCCTCTTTGAGTTTATATTGCTTGGTATTAATCGAGCACCAAACTTCTTTTTCTGGCTTGGCCTATGCGAGAATGATATATTTCCTTGGAGTATAGCACCACGGAAAAAAGAAAAATGTCGATGAAGACGCTTCGTTATATGATTTCAGACTACCAGAGGACTTTGTCATGATTCTAATACTAAAGCGGCTATGTAATCGTTAGAGGCGCTGATATTTGTCCTTACAATTGTATTAAACCGGTTCCGGCATTTTGCGGGATGTTTGCAGCGGGCAGAATAGACGAAGTTCTATCATAAACCATGCACTCAGCCCTTCGCTACGAGCCTGAATTGATCCTCGATTATTTTGCACTGCATTTTCTTCTACCTCATTCGATATTCTGACGTTCTATGTTGGTCTACCAAAAAAAACAAAAACTCCGATATGCCAAAACCCAGAGGTTTAGCTGCGGGCGCTATGGATTTGCGCGAGCGTCAAACGTGAAGGGCATATAATGCTCAATCTTCAACCCTTTTTTGTAGGCCGTTATATTGAACCAGCGACCAGACGGAAAGCTGGGCGTGGTGCCGGAATGAACAAGTAAGCCAATGCTTCACAGGCCGTGCATACGGAAATTGATAAATAATAGAAAAAAACTTTCATAAAAATATGAGAATCGGAATTTAATTCGGAAGCTTTCCGTTATCTGTGAACCTCCCGTGGCTCAAAGGTCCCCGATCCTTTCAGGGTACCAATACAGCAACCGGACTTATAGAAAGGTCATGCTGGGCAACAGAGATTAGCAGGAAAGTGAGTTCTGAGAAACGAACGAAATTTACACTGATAAGAACTGCCGATCTGTAGAAGGGGAAAGTAAACACACTGACTGAAGTTTCATTCCAGAAAACCTAGTAATCATCTTAATAATAGTATTCGCTTTGTCATTTTGGCTATCGAATTCGTGATAGTGGTTGCACTGCTGTTGATAGCCAACGTCAAATAGACCGGAATTAAATACGGAACTCATTGTCTGATAGATACAACTAGTTGTTATACATATGTTATATATATATTTAGGCTGTTAATAAATCATCAATAAACATAGCAAAATCAAAGAAAATTTTCCTACGGATATACAGTATAGGTGACGTACTTATATACTGTTGTTCTGTGTGCATTTTTAGTATGAGCTGTTATTCTGCGTGCAGGAAGACGGCTGTCCGAGCATCACGCACGTGCAAAATTTGATGAAAAAGCACCCGAATGTAGCTGCGAAAATATTCATTGGTGAGTATAACGTCCAATTTCTTTGCTCTTTATTGAGCCGTTAACGGACTGTCAAATATGTTTTCTACCCTGTTTGTCGCTGCTGCAAATTTATTTTATAGCCACAAAAAGGTATACTCAGCTAAGATTTATTATCGTTTTTGGTAAATTCCTTATATTTAGAATATCTTGAAAAGTGTTTACGCCGCTCTGAGCATCATTGATGGTCCTAATGGTCCTCCAAAGTTAGTTGCTTAATCGAATCTAATCTCAAAATTCCAGTTAAGCTTTTATGATTAGTCCAAGAAAGTGGCAACTTATTCAACTAGTTTCATAAATGATCCGAGTCATAAATTTAACTCTACCATTAAGTACTGCCTTCACTAACTGACCGCCAGCATAATATGAAGTGCGTTTCCGGCCGCTTTCAAATCAAGACACCACAATAAACGTCATCTAGTTTTTTAGGTAAACGCGTGACTATTGCACTGGAGACGGAGGCAATTCAGTTATCCCGCGGGAGACTTCTCTGATTCGGCGAAGACGTACCTAGTCATATGTACAATATTATATACTAAGTCAAAACATTAGTGGACTTGCTCTCAGTTTTTTTATTTGTTAATTTCTGAATTTGTTAATTGGCCATTGATCGGCCATTGAAGATTTTTTATTTCGTAGATAATATTACGCCGCCTAATCATTAGCAGCTCCGTCCTTCACTGCGCCGAGTGCTGCTGCCCTGTCGAATCGCGTAACCCAGCGGTCTCTCGAAGAGCACGAGAATCTGTGCAGATAATTTGTGCGATGCGGCGTTCGTTTGGCTGCTGTCTGCGCCATCGTAAATAATTCAGCGCATTTATGCTAGCGATCGTGTCGACTTGCGATTGTTGGTACCGTTGATGCCGCTAACTCTACTATCTGTTAAATTATTCGGCAATTTGATACAAATTAATGAGAGAAGTAGTGGAAGAATGAGCTAGTCGGATGTTGTTGGCTGGTTTATTTACGATGCCAGACAGCTGTTACATTATTAATTAAGCCGGATGCACGTTTTTCACATGCGTGTTAGAGAGAAATAGATGAAAGCGCGCTTTTCGCTTGTCCGTTCTATCAGCAACGGGGAGAAGCTGACGACAAAAATCAGGTTGCATCGCTGACAGGAAGCAAAATGAATTCAGGTATAATCTGTCAGTGCCGCTCCGACTCCCGTTTTTTTCTTCTCACGAATAGGCTATAGTCAATTAATTAATGGAAGCGTGGACATCAGTGAAAACTAGTTATGAAAACCTACTAGCTGATGACCCATAAGCCCGTTGAACCGATAATTTCGTTAGTGACCTTTCAAACCTCGATTGACCGTCGCGCCTGGCCTCTTTAAAGTAAGAAGTAGGTGCGAAAAATAAAGGGTGGGTAGCATATACCCATCCCTTCATGGCTGTAGGGATCGGCTAAGCAGATTTGGATAGCCATTATTATTTTTGGGTATTCTGTTGTTGAGGGTTCTAGTAGGTTATAATAAAGAAGAACTATTTTGACTCATACGTTTCATACGTACTCTACATGTCGATCCAATGACTGTAACACGATTGTGATATTACGAGCGGTTATATCCGATGGTAAGTGAAGCCATGAAACTCGCGAAATTCAAACACACACATACAAACACTTGCCATGAACAAAGTAGTCTTTTCTTTTCTCGAATCACAGATGCAGCGCTCAGGCAGAAACAGTAATCATATATGAATATGTTGATTTCATCTGTAATCTTCTTAGGTGGATCAAGTATCGGTCCTAACCCAAAAATCAATAATATGGCGCCGGGCTACGAAGCGGCTAAGTATCCTCTAATAATGGTATCGGATGCGGGCATCCGGATGAAAGAGGATACCCTGCTTGACATGGTGCTCTGCATGGCGCCTGATGTAGGACTGGTCCATCAGATGCCCTTTACCTGTGATCGTGCTGGTTTCGCTGCCATACTTGAAAAGGTTGGTGTTTTCGAAACGGACACTTGTTCGCGATAGCGACAGTAGAGCTTTCGTGCAGTTTTGTTTATAGAAATAAATAAACTTTACAAGTTTGCACATGTGTTTACCCAAACTAACCACATCATATCAACGTTTAATTTAGATAGCTTAATTCAACGCTGCGGCCGCAATGCTCGACTACTAGCTGCGAAGGCATGCGGTAACATATCTATGCTTGTTCGTGTTTTTTGCAGGTCTATTTTGGAACGGCGCATGCGAGAATCTATCTGTGTTCTGACTTGCTAGGCGTCAACTGCGCAACCGGAATGTCGGCTTTAATGCGAAAAGACATCCTGGACAAGGCAGGGGGCATGCAGTCGTTTTCGCAGTACCTTGCTGAAGACTACTTTTTTGCTAAGACGTTTGCTGACCGGTGAGTGTGTTCACGAAAATGCCAACCGGTTGTTCCCATATCCTCCAATATATCCTCTCTAGAAAAGAAACTTGCACGAGACAGTCTGAACTTATCTCATTCAGATAGTGGGCCCTATATAAAGTACTCGAATCTTCTAGTAATAAGTAATAACCTGATGCGACGGATAACCTATGTGAAACAATTTGTGCCAAGCGGAGTAATGTATGAACTATATGTAAATGCGTTTGCTTAGATTATTTACTTTATACTTTTTGTGCATATTTTTTCCCTATATGTTTTTGAGTGAATATGTTCTGAATATCATCGATAATCTTTTATACCCATTTTCAGTGGATGGAAAATCAGCGTTTCATCACAGCCTGCGTGGCAAAACAGTGGTACATGTGATGTGGTTCTATTCCAACAGAGACTAACCCGTTGGTCCAAACTACGGTTTGCCATGTTGCCCCACCTAATAATCCTTGAGCCCCTGTCGGAGTGTATGCTGCTCGGTATGTGCGTAGCGTGGTCCACATCGATGCTTTTTGGCTGGGACGTATTCGCTGTTTACCTGATACACTCACTCATCTGGTTCCTTCTTGACTGGATGCTACTTTGCATAGTGCAGGTAACAAGGAACACAAAAAACAAGGAGATCCTAAAAGCCAACTAGTTTTGTTTATCGGACAGACGGACGTTGAAAATCATGTCGTAAATTTGCGAGTAGTGAAAAAAATCGAAATATAAGAGTAATAAGAAATTTCAGTACCAACAGTGATGTTCTGGCGAGGAAGAATTAGGTGCGCTGATTATCTTTCAGAACGATCTTGGTTAATGAATCATGTGGAATAACTGCTTAATTCGAACCACTCGCTCATTGCCGGGGTAGACAGTGTTCAACAAGAGTGTTTTGGGAACAAAGTTATTACGTAATCACAAAGATTGGCATAACAAGTTTTGTCGGCTGGTTACCTTGCCTTCAATGACTTTCAACTTGTCGGTGGATATTGTTACAGAAATAGCCAGTCGAACATGATAACAGCGAATGCAGCTCTTGTTTTGTACTGTTTCAAATGCGCTGCGAAGCAACTGTCTAAGAAAGACTATCTTGGCTTTAAATACTTGGATTTTCAGAAGCGATATATATGCTGCTGTTCTGTGAACGTTTTTTTATTTTTTTTTGCTAACAAAAAGAAAAGTACTGTATCTCTTTGTATTGTTTACCAGTTATTTGCTGTTTTTCCTCAACTCTCCTCCCGTATATATATACGAATATACAACACAGTTAACCAAGAATCAGCCAATGGTGAATTTAATCTTAAATGATGTTATATTTGTTGCTATCTTAATCCTTCACAGAACGGCATGTTGCCTTTCTCCAAATGGGAGTTCGTCATAGCGTGGTCGTTCCGCGAATTTGGAGCGCTCTACCTATTTTGTCAAGCATTGTGGGACCCAACGATTCGGTGGCGAGCAGGAACCTATCGTCTGTCGTGGGGCGGCCAAGTGCAGGAGATCATGAGCTTCCAGCGTCCGCATAAGCCACTCACATTAACGCCGCATAGTATCAATAATGTCTGCTTTAACGGCAGTAAGATTCCGCCAAGTAGCCACAGCATGACAGGCAGCTTTGAAATGGCAAAATCGCTCGACCGAAATGAAAAATCTACCATTGTCTTAGCCGATGACCTCGACCTCAATAGCAATCGTGGAAAATGTTAACGGGACATTATATCACGTTTGTATTCATTCACCAAATTGTTGGTGCCACCATAGTTTTACGCAATGATCCACAACTACAAAACGTTCCGACAAGCAACGGGGCTAACAACCCTCACATTCCCCCTCTCTTCTTTCTCGATGAAAAGCGTGCCGGAATCTTGAAGTGCACTAAGACATCGTCATGCTGCCTTCTGGTGGGGACAAATGTGACGTGTTGGTGGCGCCGTCGAATTCCACATGAACGTATCATTCGTGTCGGGTGTGATTATATAGTGATGAAACTAAAACCCAGCGGGAAAAAAGCGAGATGGAAAATAATATAATGTGAATTTTACTATTACGTATTATTATTGAGGAGGCATGCAGAATATGCTGCTGCGCACAAAAAGAAAGAGATGTTTGCTGATTGCTGCAACCGCCAACTGTAACTGGCACGTGAACATTTCGCTGAGCGATCACTTGTGAACGAGTTGCGTTAGCAGATCTTCCGCTGCTGACACATACAAAGATTTTATTATCGTCAAATATTACCTGTTGATTACTTTGAAACCATGTCACTACAATGGTGATACTATGTGAGATAACAATGCCAATAACGGAACGGTTCATCACGAAAACTAAAACGGAAACATCGACAGGGCGATATTACAAGGACGTGTAGAAGATACAACACATTAACAGCATTATTAGTGGCATACTGCACGATACGAAAGACGACACGAATAAGAAGATGAATATGGTAATTAAACAAAATAAAAATAGATACGGCATGGGATGATATAAAAGAGAAGCCAACTTTTCTACCAAAGAGTAGATGATGACGAGACCATAGGCACTTACATTTTGTAGATAAAATTTGTACAACCATAATACTGACGTGACGACCTATTAGTTTACTGTTAAGAACAGAAGACGACGGAAAAAGATAGAAGACCGATGGCCAAGTGTTGTACCGGCCAACTCGATTAACCCGGTATCTGTATTTAAGTGATTAATCGAATTTTACCAAGAGAATGCTTACGGTGTCACTGGGAAAGAGCCCGTGAGAGAAAAAGAGTGTTACCGGCAACGAATACTATAATTAATACTACGATTTATAGCTGATGTCAGAAAATGATGAAGACTTGAAGAATGAGGGCAACCTATGTGTGCCATTTTGTCTATAACTATACATATAGAAGCCTAGATGACGGCGATATATATATATATATATATGAACAGGATAAATATTAAATTACTATTAAGACATAGAAAATTATCAGTTGAAAAATATTTGTGTGAATAATAATGCATGTGAAAAACGCGGGCGAACTAAGAGGCGATGTCCGATAAATATTGATAAGATGATTATTCAGAAAGTATTACAATTAAGTAAAATAATTTCTATTAGTATATGATTACTGCGACTATTATTATCGTTATTATTACTATTATAGTATTGCTATTATTAGTAATAACGAGACAGTGGCAGAAGAAGGAAATTCTATGGATGCTACTATTATTTAAAAGGACATAATTTGTTTGCACTGGTGAAGAGCCACACACCAACAAAGTGGCACTGGACGAGCTCGTTGCTCAAAGAAAACGAAGATAATCATAAGAAAAATAAATTGACAGCAAGATGGTAAAGGCTTCGGTCGAAAATTACAACAAATACCCAACAGATAGCAACAAAGTTGGCTTCCGATATGTGGCTGGCCACTGATGACCAGCGGTGGAGCTAAAGACGAAATTCCGCGGGAAACGAGCGAATGCGAATAGATTGCAAACTGTGTTACATATGTAGCTGAGTGGACGTCAGTATCTGAATCGAACGTGTATGTGTGTGAAAGTGTATTATAGAAAAAACTGAATGGCCAAATGGATGTGTGAATGAGTGAAGATTAGCTGATGCCAGCCGATGGATAGCAACTCGTTTGTTTGTTGCCTCAATTGGCATAATCTACTTTCTAGTCAGTTGTGCGGTAGTCAGGCGGCAACAGAGTTTGAGCTCGAGGCTCAACCGAACAGGCGGGAACTGCACTGGTTCACGCCCAGGCAAATTGTTGACTCAGCAAAATAGTAAGATTTTCGTTAGTTTGGGCGAAACGCGGCTAAGGGAAAGCGAGAGGGTGAGGGGGATGAGGGCGGTAAATTCAAACAAAACCATGAAGTCATTCAAGCAATTATACAGTAACAACCTTCTTAAGTACTACTGATCACATATGTTAATTAATGAGCGAATCAACGACCGAATGATATACATAGAAAAACAGCACGGCCATTCGCCACATGGAGTTTCGTTGATGACGCTAAATGCATGCATCTATTAATTTCCATACGAGATCATCACACTGAAGCAAATCGTTCGAGTGGGGTGTCCAATCATATATCGTAGATGTAAGATGATTTGAGACGAAGATGGGCCGCGGGATGATCTGAAGGACTGCTTATTAAATCAAACTTGTTTTCGCGGATTCGAGCACAAGAACAACCCTTATAGTAACGGCTAAAGGGGAAGTCACATCTATAATAGTCAGCAAATGTCACCGTGTAATTGTCAAACACATACGAACGTCCGTTATTTTATTACAATAATAGTTCAAGTTGGTGCAGTTCGTATTGATTTGAGTGTACTGGGAGGCTTGCTGCCATTACACCCGAATCTGCAAAAAGCAGATTACGAATATAAATGAAGTTGGTCCAGAGATACAACAACGCCGCAAGTGACAAGGTCGACGTGACCGCCTCGGGGATCCTACGATAGCCACAACGATGGTAATTGCTTTAAGTTAAACAGATCTGTTTGAAGTGAGACCGCTTGTCGAATAGTAGTATTGATTATCGTACAGTTTTTTTTTTTGTTGTATACATATATATGTATAGACTACGCGTTATGCGTCGTTCCACAAAAATATTGTCAAGATTAGAGTGCTTATTGCGAATTTTGGTTAGACTTGGCAGGATACATCGTAAATTAGCTGGACGTTGCTAATTTTTAGACGTTTTGCTACGAAATTATTTGTATAGCGCCAGGCTACCTTTTAACATTATATGTGGGTAAATATATACGAGTTAACAACTTTCTTTGGCAAGCATCTATTTATTAAGCATTTTAGGTAGATGGAACATATATAGTTTGTTGGCTCCCAAATACTTTACATTTGTCTAAAGTAAGATACGACATCATACGAGTTTAGCCAACAATGGTATCAGGCTCATATATATAACGGTTACTTTGCTTGTGTGTTTTTTAGGTTTTTGTTGATCTTGTGCTTTTTCGAGAAAACTCAGGTCAAAATAAGAGTTAACCTTAATTTGACAAGGTGAATTGATTGCCCATAATTGCTACGGCACTCTGCAAATATTAACTTATTTGGTATTTCTAATATAGTAGAATTGGTGATTCTCAATGTGGACGGGTGGTTTGATAGGGCCTGGTTTATTAATTCACTTGGATTTGAACACTTCATAATAAATAAGATGTGTCTATATTCTTCGATGATCTGATTTTTACAGGAAATCGAAGTCATCTCGATTTCCGATTTCAAGAGACGTAGCTATCGACGTACAGACACGCATATAATTAATAATTTGTATTGTTGATACAGAAAACATGAATAGGTGAAGCGTGAAAGAAACAATCTGTCTATAGATAAACTCATGTCATTGTGTATCTTTATAAATGCAGCGTTTACTGCAAGAATAAAATTATACAATTGGACTATGTCTGATGGGCAGATGAATGTTGATGTTTGACGTATATTAAAATTCAACCATGGAAGAGCGAACTCTGCGCAGAAATGAATTGCCCAAGTGATGGCTGAAGGGTATAATGTGAAATCGCGTGCAACCTTAGTTGTGCCTAATGGGACAGTTAAAAAATACACTTCCGGATACCTGTGGAAGAGACCTCTGTAATCTAAGAAAACGTCAGGGGTACTTAACTGCGTATAGTATACACGAAATCACCGCTACACAGACATGGGCAAAAACAGACGTAATACCTTATTTGCCCTTGATCAATAGCTATTACTGTCTCTACAGATATCTTACGAGCCAGCAATTTTTGGCTATTTCTACTTGTCTACTGACTGGTCTGAGACATCGCTGGAAAGTATTGTCGTCTGTGCATTAATTTAAACATCGCGGTGTGCCCTCATGTCGAACGGGTTAACAGCATTCGCAGTTTCGCGCTTAACTGCCGAAAGTGCGCTGCAGTAGAACGAAGACGTTGCCTAATGAGCTCAACACCAAACGTACCTTAATAGTATTTTCGTGAAAAAGATAATGAAGAATATTCATAGTATGCACAACAATAGTAACACGACAATATCGATCCCAGCACATAATAATAATAATAATAAATGACAAGTACTATAGTAGTAACAAAGGCTATAGTAAAATAAATTATTATAATCAACATTATTCCTCCAATACACGTTGAATGTATGATGATGTTGGTGATCTTATTATCATTTCCGCTAATGTAAGCAGCGCTAAGCCAATTGTATCGTTTCCCTTGACTTTACCCAATCCATAGTCGGCAAACTTCTGGATCTTTGAACGAACTACTACTTTTTCATGATAGGTTATCATTAATACTTGATATTAAGACCGAAATTCCGGCTTTAAGCTCCTGTACAATACGATTTACCAAAGGACGAACTCATAAAGATGTTAGATGTCCCATTGCAAGTTGACGCGTTCGTTACGAAAATTTTTAATAACTCTATGGCCTCAAAAACAATTGTTGAAAAGGCCGTATAAATATAATTTCTCGTGACGTATTGCATATGCGTTTTTGCCATTTGATAACCCCTTGCTATTGATTCGTTGCCACTCACCGAGCTTTAGGCGAATCTCCTCTAAAAGCCGCAAATAAATGTAAAGGGAAAACTCGGTATATTGTTAACTAATCTAATAGAAATTAGAAAAATTCTGCTTCCACTTTATCCACGTTATTTCAAGGCCTTCTCTTTGAACAAAAAATTCAAAGAAAAACAAGAACTTTATGCCTAAAAACGTACGCCAATACACAGTAATAGTCCGCTAATCAATTTGCAGAAGAATATGAGATCATATCTCTATTTTTATAAACGTAAACCTTTATGTCGTATAATGCCATATGGCAAGATAATAGTGATGCAATACGATAAAAATAACGACGGCGGCGATGCTGATGATAATGATGATCATAATGAAAAATGGTGAAAGCTAATCAATTGACAGCGAAGACGATGGCAAGGAATGCGATACAAGACCTCCTTAGTAACGAATAGCGGGCAAAATCTACCAGCACGTAGTAACTATAACATGGAACTAAAGCAATGTTATATGAAGACAAATTGAGAAGACAGGAAACATCAAATACGAAGCAAAAAAAAAGGCTGAAATCGAAATTTCCGATGTGAATGGCGTGAGTGAAACTTCGACATGGCAAGGGACGTCGACGGCGAAACAGCTAGTACATATGTAATAAATAAATTCATTGATGAATGGCGTAGACCTTGTAATGAAGAATGGGCCGTAAGCTAAAAAGAGTTAAATGAAAAATGCCAATGTAAAGATGCGCGCGTCAGCGAAAAAGACAGAGACGAAGAGAGAAAGAAACCGAAGATTATCATGAAAAATGTTTTCAGACTGCACTTTAGCGCATTGAAGCACGTTCGTGCTAAAAAGTAATTGGTGTGTTTGGGCGTTGTAAATGGGTGAGTTTGCGTTTATGATTACGGAGAGAAGTGTATCGATACATTGACTTCAATATTATTTAGGGATATATGATGGCGGTAACAAAAACTTTAAAAGTGAATATTACTATTAAAAGAATAATTATGACGACGATGATAGTGATAATGATGATAAAATGTTAATCTTAAAAATTCATAAAATTGGGATCTCTTTATTTGTATCACATGCATATATATATATATATATATATATATATATATATATATATATATATATATATATATACATACATTAGGTGATGTTTAAAAACAATTTCTCGAGGAAAATGAACATGACGCTTTATCAGAACATTAGATTTACTAAAGTGATAAGATTATTCGACAAGAGTGACTAAATTGTCCACTGAATAGAGTACGATCTTGTGTAATTTAACGTTGAGATCATACTATGTAGCGGCATCATCTTAGCTTGGCATAGAACGTTTACGCTATACGCTATGATAAAGCCGATCTAGTGGATTTTAGCAATGTATAAGTCTTTCCCAGTTTATTCTCATAGCATAAAGCATGAAACTTCTGCGGATGGCTTCTATAGTTTAATTAGGAAATGCTTCCTTTTTTCGCATTTAAAGTGTATTTTTTTCGAAATAGTCCTGTCTTATTTTCTTCTGTTGATTGAAACGTGGCATGATATTAATAGCACCGTGATTTTATTCAGTGGACAGATTTAGGATCGATTAGGGATAGAATAAAGATCAAACCTGAACTAAGAAAACTGTTGACCTGTATCGCCAAAGAAAGTAGGATTGCGTCCATTTAGCGATGAGTTTTCCAACAACGATGTATGTGGATATATTACGATACATATTTTCGCGAAAGGAGGTTTTGAGCCACTACGGATAAACCTTATGTACAGGTTGAAGAGTAAACCAAACAATTATGAATTACAAACGCTTTTTATCGACGGTTGATCCCATTTATTATTTGAGATAACAAAATGAACAGACCCTTCTCCATATGCCACTGCTGTCATTCAAATACACACGCAGACACACGTCCACCGGGATCTTTTCTCAATAAAAGATTACCTAGGCATTAATCGTCTCATAATCTTAAAAAGCCAAAAAAGTATTTCGAGAAATGACGCGACTTTCGGCTTTACAGCTCCGTGAACAAATACACGTACACAACAACACCTGCTAAAATAGGCAAAGACCGCTTCACAAATAGGTACACACAGCTGCCTACAATTCCAGACATGCGAATATAGAAACACGAGGACAGCAAGACGATCTACTATAGTGATACAAAAAATGATAAAAAAACATACACAATTTGCAGAATTTGATTGTTATTCAATCGAAACAACAAATGCTCTACTTGGAGCTACTACTACGGACTCATGGCGTAGGTGTGCGTTCTGACACCACGCTATTCAATAAGCATTAGTGCTTCGCGATTTGATATTGTCAAATGCATGTAGTCCAACGGGTAGTTTGATTAGCTACAGGTATTAGCCTAATTGAGCCTACGCAGACAGACAGCGCGGCGTTTATTCCAGGGCGCTCTCGAAAGAGCGCACTGCATTTGATTTTGGGTGACAAGCGAATTTCGCAACGTATGCAAGGGTGAGATTGTATATGAGGCCTGGTTCGTTCAACAAGCTGGTGCTAATGGAACTTACGTGCTTGGATGTCGTAGGTTTATGTACGCAGATGAAGTAAGAGAAAAAAAGAAACTTTGGTGTACGCGTAGAAGAATTAGCAGCTTATCTTCTTAGCGAAAAACAGTTGGCTTAGTTCAACTAAAACCTATGTTCTTTTTTGTCCTCGTTATTTAGCGAGTCGATGCTAAAGCAGATCTACAGCAGGTCAGAGTGAACCAGTTCGAAATACAAACATGTGTGTACTGTATAAATATATAACAAACGTTACGTACTGTAGCTAAAATAGAGCTTAGGTGGGTCGCATTTTTGATATCAAGACGTTCGATCATTTCATACGGTAATAATGAAGAGTGGTAGGCACCTAACGAAGCCACACAAAAACCACGTACAATAAACAAATATGGCAATTTAACCTATTGCTACAATACGATTCTACATATGACAGCAGTGAAACAAGTAAGAATTCGTTATGGAACAATACTACATACAGACGTAATTATGAGGCAACAACCGTAATAATTGTCTCCCCTCTTAACGAGCTGATTCGTGCCTTGATAATCATATCTTGATTGCAAACAGAGAACTGAGCCCCTACGTATGCACGTAGAATTCTACATGTAAATGGATCCCCCAAAATCTTTCAATGAGGAGATAAAAGATAAAGTTATTGAAACCGGTTGATTTCGATGATAAATGGAGTAAGGCAAAACATGGATATCATAATACTAGGCTACAACTGCCCAGACTTTAACAAGCATCTTTGTGCCGATTCCCAATTAGAGGTTTTCAAAGGTTCTACCTAAATAGATAAAGGTACCTGAGTAGAAACGTGAACACAAATTTGTTTCCTTAGGCTCGTCGTATCTGAATCTACTGCAAGAGCTTGCAGCAATTTATTGGAGTGGAAGAACGCCTCATATCTGAAGTTTTCTATCTGAACATTGTGATACGTATCCGTAACAAAAAAACAAATTTAGAAAAATGGGTAATTGGAAACAACGCTATCACCTAATAAGTAGCGGCATGGTTGTAAGCGCCTACATGTGGCTATTGAAGTAACTTATGGACTTACATTAAAGAATATTAAACAATCGAGATTGGCCGGTTTCATGCTGAGTCGGATTAGTTTATGGACACATGAGAACACCAAACATCTACAGAGAAACACACAGATACGGAGTCCCTACATGTAGCAACAGATAAATGGACATATAGGATTCAACATTTGTGAATACGGTCAGTTGTCGTCATTTTTTCGAACGGATTGCCATCAGTCTAAAATCCGATACTAAAGCTATTCTTTGCCTATATCTTGAAATCCTGTTAGTTGAGTAGTCTATATACGCAATACGTGAGTACAAGAAGATCATTGCCATGCATCTATCTAGTCACGCGGGGATTATTATTAATCTTGCTTTATTATTTATTACTGTCGCTATGAGTAATAATTCTATACTATAAAGTACGAGTAAGTACATCTAATGAATACAGTGTGCCGTCAGATGAGTGCGTCTAGTATTTGCAAGATTTAATTACGCGACCTTAAGCACGACATTCCACATAATTAATAACGTTGCTTTCATTCTGTTGTAAACCTAGTTATAGGATGTTTATATATTGTCTAACCCATGCTTTTTGTTTTAAAGAGAATCGGATAATAATTTTAACAGTGTCTTCTTAACGCCATCTGAAGAAAATAATATTGATTTGCACCGTTTCTCCTCTTTTTGGCTATAGTCATAGATCGATGCGTAATTGTTGCCAGTCACGCTAATCTTAGTCTCGTTACCCTTTCTCCGTAGATAGCAATTATGGTTTTTATCTTTTTCTTTCATTGTTCTTCAGGTTCAAGTAAGTTAACGTGTGATGAAGTAGTGATTAATGATAATATTGGCCATCTCTGCTTTTGCGTATGTACGTCAATAAACTTACCGAGCTTCTACCACTTCTACTTGGTTGTTGTGGTTGTTACTTTCTATGACTATTTTTCGTCGAGTAGATACATATACGTTGATTTATCGTCAGGCTTCATTTATTACCAGTTTCCGTTAACCGAATCAAGGCGCAAAGCAGTGACGTACAATTTCTTGAGCAGTTGTCGCAAATTTACCCACCTATCTGTTTGTGTTTGTAACTAAGGGTAAAGAGTTTCAGAAAAGTTAACCTTCGCAGTCAACACGTTTGTATTTATTCATATGCTTATACACATGTACATATATAATTACAAGCTCGCGGACCTGATACAGGAATAGACAAATCACTTCGGATCATGTGTAGCTACCCAAAAATGGATGTAGAGCCATTTCTGTGGTTCCTATTTATCTTCTGCCACTTTATAGTGCTTTCGTTGACTGTGGCTTTGCCAACACTGTGGCAGACGCTTCTTTCGTGAAAGTGTACTATATCGACGTGTTCCGGTCTTTGATAGGGCAAAATGGTGTCAACAAAAACCAAATTTATTAGTACTATCCTCATAACTTTAGGCATAAGTGGGAAACTCTATATGATAGTGATGGCTCTAGGATAACAGACGCTGATCTGCCACTAGTGAAAAGTGGAAAGTACCGCGGGCGGTCGTTTCGCTTTTCACTACACCTCATGAGATTAGATGAATTATTTGCGTTTATTTGAGTTCATTCTATCTAAAATTCTCGACCAAATAAATATTTTACAAAAAAGATACAGATCTAGTAAATATACACATAATGCACTTAAAGGTTTAAGGCTTACCGTTGTTTGGAGTCTCAAAATGTCACAGATCTGTACCGATGTTATTCAGACAACTTTCACTCGTTTGCCGTGTACCTGGCTACTTAAAATGCCAAATTTGACAAATAGCCGTAACACAATTCGTTGCATAAATGTGGACTCGAATGAGTATTCGTCCATAGGAGGTATATATTATTATTATATATAATCATAGACCAGCGAGCTTCATACACCCTCATAATCACGTCAAAAAGCAGATTGGAAGCGAGTTTGAACCTATCTCTCACTTACCTGCCACTGACCCAAACACAAACACTCTCTTAATTGTTTGCTCCAAGGAGGGACATGTGCAGAGGCCCGTTAGCTGTCTAATTTTGGCTAATAAATTTAGATGCAGTAACACGTCATTTACGAAAATTCTTTTGCCTAACACACGCGCACAGACAAACATCGATGCACCATAATGGAAATGAGAGTTTACACGGGGACACGGCGGCTGGGTTCGTTGATACAAGAGCCACCTGGAAAATATTTGCAGAACTGCTTTGGTGCAGAACGAATTATCAGTAAAGCAATGATGCTGTTTAAGTTAGTGTGAAAGAGAATATATATATATATATATATAGGAGGAAACTGAATGGGTCGATGGAAAAGCATAAAAAATAAGCCTAGGAAGATACCCCTGCGAAGCCGAAACTGAGAAAAGGATAACGGAAAACAACGAAAAGGAAAATGATAATAACTGTAACACAATCGCTGTAAGGTAAGGTTGCAAAGCGTCGAAAACGGATTGTAGCCATCATGGCCTGGCTAGACGATGCCATAGCCTGTCTCTTGTGTGTATTCTATCGATGAAGCGGTGACGGAACACCTTAGACAGATAAAACGTTACTAATGGTAATAATAATAATAATAATTTAATAATAATAATATAATAGGATAATTAATATATTAGTAATATTTGATGGTGATGACCAATGCGAAACAAGTACGGTAAAGTGTGTTTTGTAATAAAATTATCTACTACATATGACAACTGTTAACAAACGTGTCATTATTTTAAAAGGTGTGTTCCTTTAACATGCAGGTCAGTGTAATTACTTATAGAGGTTTCTTTAAAACTATCTGTAAGTAAATACATTGTATCGGTAGAGATTACCATATGAAAATTTTGTCTGATAACTCGTACTTGAAAATAATTAGAGCTCAACAGACTGTAAAAGTAATTATTCCAGGCCTGTTTTATAGCCAGGTATTAACCGAGAACATTTAAACTTTGAGACAATGGGTTTTATTATAATTAGTTGTCGGCTGTTACAAAGGATGGCATAGTAATTACTAAATAAAAACGTATTGATGGTCATTTGTGTCATCTGTCTTATATTGCATTTTCAGAATAAAATCTTTCATAGCGTACTGCAACTAAGTCTCGCCCAAGAATGGGCTGTTCCTCCGAGCACATATAAATCTAGAACGTAACTAATAATAATATAGAGATTACTTCGAAACAGTAGGATTTGGAGTGTAAATGATGTAAAAAATAATCACATCTGGAGGTCAAACGCCTAGATCCAAAAATACCAATCATTCAAGTTCTTAAAAAAATCCTGTAATCATTATTAACGTTGAAGAAACGCAACAGTTTAGCATCATTCATCGAAGCGTTGGAAAAACTATTAAAACAAACTTCTGAAATATTGTAAGCTTGCTCTAACCAACAATGTTGACCTTATCTTCATAAAGAATGCTGATTCTGAAATTCCAGACACGCTTTTTTGTGGCAAGTGTCACCTGTATTGTTATGGGAAGCTGTTCACTTGAGCAAGTTCATTTTGACTTAATGGAACGTTTCTCTACTCGGCCTTTCCAAAATGTACTGTCTTTCCACCAAGGAATGAATTAAAAAGATAGATAGTCGACTCGACATTGTACAGAGTATTTATACACATTTTACTGTTTATTGAACACCTAAAGCTCTGCATCAAGGATGTAGTTCATTATTCTTTCACAAGGTATCAGTCAGCTCTCATTGACATTACTACACATCTTTAAAAATGCCCGCCTTTGTAAGGGTCATCTTAACCCAATAAGCACTACAGCGCAATTCGATCCTACTCAGAATATCGCCAAGAAAACTGAAGGTCGTTAATAGTAGCTCATTTATGGCACCCATGCCACTATATGATAAAAAAAAAGATTAGGTGCTGAAAGAGGCTGCCCCTCTACCTAAATAGGTTAGATATTATGAATATTATGGATTTAATGGACTAGTTATTGCACAAAATGATTTGGAGCTCTCAAATCGATTTGTTATACGTTACAGCCCGCGCGAGGTCCTACTCGCCAACAGTAACCGGTCTTCTCAGTTCATATCAGTAGGTACTATTCAATACGCGTCGCAATGCAGACTCTCTAAATAATAATAATTTGTATGATTAATTATTAAATAAAGTGAGCCGTTTAATAATTAGGAAGCAACCAATGCAAGTCCCAGAATTACTGTAACAGTCTTGTTAAACTATATGTTACAGTATTCCCTACACTAAAACTAACATCGATTTCTCATGACTGCTTATACGCCATGAAAATATTCATATAACGGCTTCGCTTGGGTAACTCAGTTTACGAATTCAAAACTTCTCAATTGACTCTTGGCATTATCCTATACATTCTTCTTTAAATAAAGGTGTTTTTGTTGTATTGTATCGCCAAACAGTAAACCTATTAGAATTGCGCGGTTTTTAAAATCTTGGAGGCATGGTATGCTCATGCAGCATAATTCCAGCCGTGCTGTACATCTGCATAACCATTCGATGCCGGTTGACCTCCATATACGCGAATCCGCCATAGCTAAATAGCGATGCCCATGCGAACTTTAATGAGTCCTTTGGAAGCGTCCGTTTATGGATGAGCGAGGGGTTGATAAAGTTGGTAGCTCCTGATACAAAATATTCAACTGTCCAATTTCCTGGACCGAGGTCAGGTCGAATGTGCTACAAGAAATTATGGACACACAGATACAGTGCCAGAACGTATATGAACCACGTTTATTAATCATGGTATTAAAATCAATAAAACCATTAAACGATAAATCAATTACAAACATGTTCCATACAACATGTCGTATCTGACAAATCTATGAAGCACTCAACGTATTGCGACATGTTCATTTCAGTTTTACGCATTCACGTATTGCCAAACATGTTCAGTACCATTATTAATCGATTTTTAAGCTCTAGTACGAAGACAGAGCGCTGTCTGTTGTCCACAATACCACCCACCTGCAAGTCATGGTCGTGTCCTGCTAGGTACGCGTTTACTCTGTATTTCTGCAAAATAGGAACCATCTCCGATACTAGACAATCAGTGGTTCCATGCGAGCACGCGGAGTATATTGGATAGTGTCCAGCTACCAGAATATATTTAGCCCTGTAATATATCAGACAGATAATAAGAAGCACACACACATTTGGTCAAGTAGCAAGGCAAATGCGTAAAAGCAAATGGGCTGCCGTTCGTTTCTGTGTTATTTTTTTGCAGACTGCATAAATTGCAGACTGTAACCGAATGCTGTTAGTGAGGAACTAGCATAATTGTACAGTAACTTCTCAAAGGTCCGTGTTGAGCATCGATAACAGGACAAGCTGGTTATGGTAGGACAAAAGAAAATAACATTCAGGTCATCTGCAAATAATCTATCTGTCATTTTTACTTAGACTTTTCGAGTTCAGCGATTAGCCATCGGAATTGTTTCGAATAGTTTTTGCTTCGAGTTTGCGGGATCGGTTGGTCATCTTCGTTGCCTGCTGTCCTCCCACATATGAGAACTGTGTCTAGCATAAACACGTCCAGAGTATCCCCCTTCGTGCCAGGTATTTCAAATGTCCGGCTATAATAATAGTCTGGAAAGATCCTGTAATCGCATGGCGAACGACGCAGCGCCAGAAAAAAATTATTCCAATTAATAAGGCTGATTTCTCGGTTTTCGATGATTCGTGTTAATTCGTACATAAACGCTTAAAGTGAAACCCGATTATTCGGGGATTTTCAAATACCACCACCAATAATAATAATAGTGGTCAGAAAAAATGCCTACCATCTGTTTGAAACCTTTGAGTAGGCAATTTGAGCTGAGACGTTCCCGTCATGGTCGTGGTTTCCGGCGATAATGTACCATGGGATTCTCATCGATCCGTCGTTGTAAATTTCTTCGAACGTTCTCTACAAAAAAAATCGCGTTTTCTTCTATTTATTATATAGAATCAGTTTTTACAATAAGAGAAACCTCTGGGTTCGAGTGCGAATAGCATGAACCATATACAAATTTGGCTCACTCGTCTACAGATTTAATATAAGCTTTAAAAAATGCCTTACCTTCTGAATTAATTTCGGATAATTTAGGTATGAGCAATATGCCTTCACATTAAATTTAACTAACCGGATAACAATTCCGGTTCACGCTTTTTTGTTTGTCGTCATAAAGTAAAGAAAAAAAAAACCGGGACAGTCACTTGGAATCGTCGATCGTTGACATCTCGCACTCCAGTAAAATAGAAATTGTCTCCAAGCGCTAGTATAAACTGCACTTCTTTCCGAGAGGCAAACTGGGCCATTTTTTTCGCTGTTCGACGTTGAATGACCGTGCTATACGGATAGAAGGGTATACCTCCCCAGTCACCAAACACCAAAAATCGAATCGACAGAGGGTCTGAAATATTAGAAATTACTTAGGGCTGAGCTTATCACAGGCCGACTGGAACGAGAATATAAATAAGGCAGTGGGTTTGGCAAAAAAGGAGGTTCTGAAAGAATGACTGGCGAACTACGATATATACAATCGATTTGGTAAAAACTCTTTGAAAGTACAATGAACACCTGCTGGATTGAATTCTTGAGTCCGGTTACCCTGGTTTCGGGTCCTATTTCCCACGCGGTTGCGAAGATCATTTCGGATATTGCTGACCGTCTGCTTGATTTTTGTCGCCGCCTCTGATTTGGCCCGATATTCAAAGTCTGAACAGAATAAGACTGGAATGTAAGGGCACGTATTAAAGAGCTGCCTTCTTGTAACAGTTATATTTTCGCCTGTAAACACCCTTGGTGATTGGTTCATTAGGTATAGTCATGTTTTCTATACGGGAAATGGCAATTTCAACGTTAATGCATGCCGTCCCCCTTTGCCTTTGCGCGCTTCTAATTAATCAGTGTAAAGGCCTGGTTTTTCAACGGCAAGTACTCATATCAGGCTAATCATCTAATTGAGATATCAGTGAGGCCCGCAACCTCAAATTCCGCTAACTGCACATAAATACAACATGACTTTTGTGCATGAAATAATTATTTTGTGCGGAAACATTCTATCTCGTTCGAATAAAAACGTTCACATACAAATCAAATCATCGTATAAATATCGCACTCCAAGACTGTTACAACGAGCTGAAATACTTGCATATATATATATAATTATAGTTTATATTTCTCCCTAATTACATAGAAGAAAGTAACCAGACATAAGCTAAAGATTGCACGACGTTGCGTTTAGAGCTAATCTGAAAAGTATCTAAGGTTTTTATGTCCCTAAGATCCTGCAATTAAACTTAATACAAAACTAATTGAATCTATGAACTCTAATTACATAGCATCGGAGATATAATTGTTAATACTCACTCAAGACGAGTGCTAGAATGCGGTACATCCTTCCCAACATGTACATGGTTCTTATCCGTTTTGGTGAAACTTTCTACAGGATTGGAAACCCGCGGAAAAATCACCGAGGAGGGACCTTTGTGACGCCACACTGCTGAATCAGAATAGTAGCTATTGCAAACAATATTACTGATCAGAAAGTAGACACTAGTTGTTTTCGGTTTCTTCAATGGGATAATAAAACTAGGGGGCAGCCAATAACAGTTTGGCTTGAGGCTAGTGGACAAAGCGTCGACACTCTCTTTAACGGCAGCTTTCTTTCCACCGTCGACCTCTTCGTATTGTGCTTCGTGGACAATACGGATGTACGCGATAGGCAGAATTTCTTCTGTAGAACCTTCTATGTGGACACGAGCGGGACGGTCCGTGTGTGATCCGTCGTATGCGATCTGTGTACCTCGCAGTTGTCTGGCGAACTACTGTGGAAGAAGTATCAAGCATCGCTGTGGTACTGGCTGATGCGACTGGGTCACACCGCGGCTGGATTAGCTTACTTCGATCGCGCGAAAATCGGCCTGAACCGGAGAGGACGGCTGAGTAAGCAAGGGCAAAAGAAAAACGGAGAAATCTGGCTTGTCAGGCGAGTACACAGCGTTAACGATAATGGGGAGCGAGCTACGAAGTTCATTCACTTCAGTGGCTCCTCGTCGATGTTTGCCGTGGTTCTGTGTTTGGTGTTGCAAACAGTGCACAAATAACTCGTATGAGATAGCTAGCCACAGAGGATGGGAGTCTGAAAACTAAACACTTTGAGCTCATGATCTTCGAAGTCTCCTTTTCGCCGAAGAGTACAAAGCATGGAATGTAATGAGCTAAGAAAACTCAATCGTCGAATCGAAGTATACTTAATTAAAACAATAATAATGGTCTCTATAAATATTCTGTGGTTTGCGTACTATAATTTTACCGCAAACCTGTGCTACTCCTAAACTAAACAAACAGAAAATCGCTGCGCGTTCGTTGACATCGTTTACATACAGGTCACCGTGAACAAGTTGTAGGCAATCAAATCCAGATTGCAACTACTCCAGATCTGTAATTAAACCTCTTGTTCGACGGCCGCGTCAAAGATAACCCACGTCATGCAGCAGTTGAACAGCTTAGCTTATTCATCGTAAACAATGTAGCAATCTATCATGTATCAGTCGACGACAAGAGGTGATTTGACGGTGGCGTTCTTATAACACATGAATACGAAAGACTGACATTACGTGTGACGTACACAAATTGAGTGCAGCGTTCATTGTAAGAAGCTTTCGTACGCTTCAAAGCGCCGCCTCGCTAATGAACAACTAAGTACAACACCTTTAAAATCGAGTTCACAGGCATGAAATTTCCTTTCAAAACCATTGAGTTTTCGACAGAAGCAGCTCAAACAAACGAACTGGCGCAAGGAGGGTTCATGTCATACTAAAGTGCAGCTCCTTCCAAGATGATCGTTATAGGTGTGATTCGGGAAACTTTGTGCATGGTGCGGAATAGAAACGACACCATTAGTGGGAGGCTAAGGTCGCCAGGGTGGCGTGGCCGTTATTATGTACGACGAAACGGGTAGATCATATAATCTGCTTATAGAATGATTTGAGCCACCTTTAAAATTCAATGACTACCTTCAAAATATCTTAGGAGTTACATTTAGCAACTAACCCCTAGCAATTAAGATAGGCGTTCGTATGGGTTTGTCAAAACCCAGGTTCTCCACTTACGATTTTCGTTAATCAATGTGAGCGGACGGGTTAGAGGCCCAATAACAGCACCTTTCAAAGGGGAGCCGCTGAAACACGAAACACACTGCTATACGCTTACTCAGGCCTATGCTATAAGGAGTAACATCGCTGCTGTTAAACCTCACTGTCCCTAACCGTTTAATAGCGGATCGAACAATTGATATTTGATTGTGTAATAATAATCTTACGAAACTGTTGTATCAAAACATATGTCGAAACGTCAGCCATCTTTAGCGTTATAGAGTTAAAGCAATACATAACGCTGTCTTTATTCAATAATACATGTATGGATGTATAAATAACTAGATGAGATTTTTTATAAATCTCCTAAAAATCTCTAAAATTTTATTTAAAAAAAAAAACAACTGGAATGCATGGACAATTTACCTGCGATTAACCACTAGTATGCTTTATATTGAAAAACCATCAGTAAATACTCTAATCGATTTGTACTAGTACTATACTATCTTAAGTAGGGATTAAATTTGTTACATTGTCGAATGAACCTTCTAAAGACAAGAAGCAAGCATTGTGATTGGACTACTCTAGAAGAGAGTGCAGGGATTGTACAGAATTACTTTATTTCGACAAACCTGTTTTTGCTTGACTGTACGACCCTCTCGCTGGTCAAACGTCCGATTTATTCTATTTTTCGAGAAACTGGTTCGACCCCAACTCTGGTGCAGAATGATATTAAGTTGATTGGTGAACCCAGCTCAAGCGCAGTACGGAGTTAACGAACAACCCAGAATACCAACCGCTTGAAAATCGTATAATGCTTCAATCAATTTCTTTATCTTCATATCAAATTGAAGGTCTTGTTACCTATCATAGAATAGGTCAGATTAACCCAAGTGTCTTAAGGTCCTTGTTGCAAACTTCTCGAACGTGTTATTTTACCAAACAATCCTAGGTACCATTAAGCACAAGCCGGGAATGGACTTGTACTGTCAAGGCATGAGTTGTTGGATGGTCTGGCTTTGAACGTGGCCCACCTTTATTCAAACCGTTTGGTTTGCATTCTTAGCATTTTTGTAACTTGGGCCGATGTTGTTCTTTCTGATATCTTGCCTTGCACCGTCAGCAGTGACTGCTTTTGAAAGTATTTAAGCTTATTTGTAATGAATATTATGCTTCAACTCAACGTTCTCAAACATGTTAACCGCATATTATGTAATAATGAAAATTATTCCAATAGTACAACAAAACAATCGTTCAATCTGCTACCCGATTTTATTTGGTAATTTAGGCCATGCACTGAACAAAGCAGAAAATATATATAAAAGCTAGTGTTAATCTCCGAGCTTTGTAAATTACTTTGTCTTCAAATTGCTAATAAAAATTAATGAAAAAGATTTTGTTTGCCAGTGAAAGCTAGAACGGTCAACGGAGTAGGCCGGGTGAAACGTATCGAAGGCACTATGATGGCAATGCGTAAAACTCTAAGAACAAATAAGAGAAAGCCCAGTAGGAAGGAAAATTTACTCACAATTGTTATTCTTAAAGCAGTTAATTGTACAGTAATAGTGACACCTTCTGGTTGAACATATTTGACGCATTATTTATAAGATATATATATATATATATATATATATATACATGGGATTGTGTCTTGGAGTGTATCTGTATAGTGAACACACTCCATATATCAGAGCCTGCCATCTCAACGGACTTAGAAAAGGCAATACCATATCAATGAAATGGTCTAAAAATTAACCAAGCAGACGTCTGCGCAACTTTTTATAGCTAACCCATGTATGTGCAGATCGACTAAGCTAAACAATGACTGATCAGCTGACAAATGATAAATGGTAAATTATAATTTATTGTTGTAAACCCGCCGACGATGCATCCAATGGTGCCACGGGCAGAGTTTTATCCCTCGAGATTGATATTCGAGCCAAACTTGCCGTAAAGTGCTGCTTTCAGCTCAGCCATCTTGCTCTTGATTTCCGACACCTGTTCCTTAAAGGTCTCCAGCTCCTTTCCTAGACTTTCTTTGTCTGATTCCAGTCGAGCCTGT